TTTTTTTTTTTTTTTTTTTTTTTTTGGTACTGGGGATTGAACTTGGAACCCTGCACTTGCAAGGCAGGCGACAGCACCAATGAGCTAAATCTCCAGCCCCTGGAAAAGTATCTTTTATCCTCATCAGTTCCCTAGCCAGCCTGGGAGCAAGCAGTGTTTAATTCCACTGTAATTCTTTGATCTAATTTTCCAATTCTTGGTGTGATTTTTATATGTTTTGGGGATTTGGGGGTTTTTTCTTCAAGAAAAGGCATTATATTTTACCTTTCAGTGTATAAAACATTAGTGTGATTTTATTTTAACTATTAACCAAAAAATGCCAACTCCTATGTCTGTTTGGATATGCTTCCAAAAGATGCAGCTACAGAGTCCCTGACCCAGCTGCTGACTACTGGATCAAGACTGGAGAGAGCAGCAGGCTGGTAGCTTTGGAAGTTACTGGCATCTCTCAAGTATGAAGAGCACCTAGTAAGCCACACAAAGCTTGTTAGTGAGGAGTACTATATAGGTCCAAGGTCAAAAACAACACCAAGAAACAACATCCCCCTCCAATTCAATAATAGAGATTGAATCCAGGACCTTCTCACTGAGCTACAGATCCAGACCTTTTTATTTTCTTTGAGACAGGGTCTTACTACATTGCCCAGGCTGTGATTAAACTTGTGATCCTCCTGCCTCAGCCTCCCAGAGTTCTGGGATTACAAGCTTGTGACACCATGCCTAGAAAGAGCATCTTTTAAAGTGCAGGAAATACAATAAACTCCCTCCATAACATGGCAGCATATAAAAAGAATCAAATCTACTATGAAGAAACTGGGTATTCTATTTTCATAAAAATAATCTCCATTTCTCTTAAGATATTGAGTTTATATATGAAAGAAATGACTTATCCAGTGAAATTATCTTTACAGTTCCGATCAAGAGTTGGTAAGAAAACTTACTCTAGATGAGTCATAGGAAGGGCTCGGCTGACCACTTGTTCCCCAAGATGTCGTACCTCCACGTTCATCCATTCCTAAGGGAAAAAAGAGTGACATATAAATCCAAAAAAAAAAAAGTTTTGATGAACATTTTTTGTGTGGTACAGCGGAGTTCAATCCAATAAGTGGAATTTGCATTTTTACAAAGTTGGTTCATATCAACCCCTGCCTCAGAGACCTGTAGAAAACAAGTTATTTTGGTGTATCATCATCATCATCACATTCCAGTATTCCCCCAAACAATGCCATATATATTTTTAATAATTTAGTTTTATAATTATAATATAAAATTTAGTTTTATATATTTATATGACTTATAAAACTAAAATACTTACTTGGAGGCTCCAGAATGGGTATTACCCAAGTCTTTCTATCTCTGTTCCCACCCACTGTGGCTTCTATGAATGGATGAATCCCAAGCACTCTCTAGTTTAGTAGTGTCTAATATGAAAATATGAAAAATCTAGCTCTTACAAACCTCCAAAAAAAAAAGGTAAACAAGTCAAACAACCATTTGATTTAATAAAAATGGTCTCAGAACAATATATGAAAAATAGCCCTTACAAACCTCCAAAAAAAAAAGGTAAACAAGTCAAACAACCATTTGATTTAATAAAAATGGTCTCAGAACAATGACTAGATATTCGTAACTAAATACATTAAAATAAATCAAACTATACCAAACCCTATCAAATAAACACCTTGTTATATTAAAATGACCCAAATAGGATAACTGAGCGTAGTAATTTTGTGGGTAACATGTCAACTTTCACTAAAATTATATACAATCTGATTCCAAATATGTAGATGTTATAAATGTTACCAAGGAAAACTCAAAATGAACTTTTACCCAAACCTATTCACTGTGTTACTTAATCGACCTTCTAAAACTTGGGCAACATTACTTTCTTCTATCAATTCCCAGAAAATGCTAGAAAAGTTGGAGATCTCACAATCCAGTGATTTCTAGTTTTTCTGCTTTGAGGATACCAGTATTTTTCATCCCTGATTTCTAGGAAGGTATAATTTCCCAACCACTTCTGAGCGTTTTGCTATAATAAACATAAAACACTGAATGTTGTATTTGTGTATGTAAAAACCTTAGATGTTACAATGACAACACTCTGCCAAGTTAGAATCTCTCTCTCTCTTTTCCAGTGTTCCTGGAAGTCCTTTGTGATTTAGGTGAGAATGTGGTGTGTGATAAATAAAATTCACAAACGCTCCAATAATTCACATGAGTCATATGCTTAATAGGACAGAATTGTCAACTGGATGGACAGACAATAAAAGAGCAGTTATTAGGATCTTAATTTATTCTTTTTATGAATCTACACTTCCAGCATCAAGTATTAATATACATTTTAATAGCTTTTTAGAAAAGACAATAGGAAAGTTGATATTTAGTAGTTCCTTGGATCTGCAGTTTCAATTAATCTGGTCAACTGCAGTTCAAAAATAAATACAAATAAACAATTTATACATTTTAAATAGCATTTATGATAGTACACTAATATAAATTTTAATTTAATTATTGTTGTCCATCTCTTACTGTGCATAACTTATAAATCAACTTTATTATAGGTATGCATATGTAGGGAAAAACAGTAAATACGACACCTGGTACTGTCCACAGTTTCAAGCACTTTTTGGTGGTTGGAACATATGATCTGCAGACAACAGGAGACTATTATACAGGTAATATTCCAGGAACAATCCAAGTGAACCACAATCTTTGAAAACAAAGATTATGTATAAAAATATAGAATGTTTTATTGTTCAATAATTCTAATAAAGTTCCAAATTTAAGAAAGGTTTTATAAGTGTATGTAGTGTCAAGTAAAAACACATATTATTAACATCTTTCCAATATCATCAGTTCCCTTGGAGCTATTTTCTAAGCATTTTCTTTGTTATCAACACTGTAGAATTGTACACAGAATTCCTATGAGACCCAATCAAAGACAAAGACTATTATTAACCTACAAAATCCACTAATATGTAACAATACATAAAACTACAAATACTTTTTTACAAAAGGTTGTTTGTAAAAAGAAACATACTTTCCTTGATCAAATATAATAGAAACCTATTTTGATGAATCTTGTCCTAATGAAAAAAATGAGACCATAATTTGTTCTTTTCATGACAGTATTTTCTTACAGCAAATGGTTAATAAATATGAGACTTCTGTATTATTTTAAATACATTTGTAAAAAAAACAGAAGAGATGGGTGCTAGTCACAGGTAACCTTTTCAGATAAAATTTAAACGAGACACAAAATTCTACGAAAATACAATCAATTTTCACCAAGTGACTCTAATTTTTCCACAAAATGAATGAAAAGCAAATATTAAATAAAATAGGATCAACAGCCACCAACTAAAGAGTACTATATATTACTTCTATTGGACATGGCAAGGGGCTCAAAGGGTGCAGAATAACAAGGATCTGGCTAGGTTTTAAACTCAGCTCTGTAGTTTCATTGTTAATATATCTAAACTGAGTAAAAGGTCGTGGCTGGCACTGACAAAGGCAAGAGTCATCCTTCTCTATCAATGACTCTTTTTTGCTGAAGACAATGGCTACACAAACACAGAAAAGTGACAGGAACAATAAACCTCCAAAGCTTCAGCCGTTAAGACCAAGGTAAGCAGAAAAAAATTAACACAGAAGATAAACTTAGTTGGGCATTATAAAAATTAATCAAAATCTGAAAAACAAGAACATATACCATAGTTACAATACAGTGATGGCAGAAGAGGCATTTTTGTCAAGATATACCTAAAATATGTAATCCCCTTTTGCTTTCTTTCCTTCCTATTTCTAGTATGTACATGTCAATTCAAAAGGGCCGGGGATTCAGCTCAGTGGTTCCGCTGCCTACCTTGCAAGTGCAAGGACCCGAGTTCAATCCCCAGTACCAAAAAAAAAAAGAGTGCAGATTTAAGTGACAGATATATGAGAAAGTTGAACAACAAGTGGTACAAACATTTGAGTCTTGTGTGATTTTTCTACTAAGTTACTTCTACTCAACCAATTCAAAAGGGTAATCAATGATTTAACTTATACAAATATGTAAATGTTCCTTCCCTTCTAAAAATCTTTTATATATAAAATATCTAGCTTTTCTGAATGGAACCAATTAATAAAACCCAATACATATTTTAGCTTCATGTGCCCCATTTTAAAAGCTACATATATTTTTAATATTTTGCAGTAAAGAACCAACATTGCATCTTGGAAGTTCATTTTTAAAAACAATGGCATGTAAATTTAAGGAATGCAAACTGCCTCCTTTTATAAAAACATTTACTTTTTTAAAAAAGTAATCAAAAGCAAATTAGAAATTTGTACATCTACTACATGCAGTTCCCTAAGATTGAGATGTTGAAGGATAAAAGATGGAAACCAAATTTTCAAGGTGCCAGGGAATAAGATTCTTGGAGGACCAATAAACATCTTGGCTAAGTTTATGAAAACTCAGATATAGTCTAACCTGACTCTATTTCACTGCCACAACCACTTGCTCTTGATAAGAGCACAATCTTCCTAGAATTAACCCTAAAACTGTCCTACACCTTTTCTCTGCCCAGGCTTCTCTATTGTTCTGTCCACTAGCAAAACTACAGAGTTTGTTTGAGCACACAAGCATCAAATGAAGTCTGGTGAGGCTCAGAAAGGAGCTGCCTGGAAGTAAAAAGAATGACTCAGGAGACCTACTTTCTGCTCCCATTGGCACAGCCCGACCTACAACTGAAGACCCTATAAATCCAAAAACAGAACTACAATTGGGAAAATATTTCACGTAGCAGTAGGGAGTGTTATAAACTGACAAACTATGAAAGGAATAAAAGAGGGAGATGAAAGAGAGACATAAGATGCCCCTAGAGCAAGCATAGGCAATAAGAAAACCAAGTCAGTATGGCCATGCTGCTCAGGTATACACAATAGGCTATTCCTGTAGAAAAGGTGTCTATACATTGTGTAAATTAGGGAAGAAAAGCAGAAAACACTGCTCACACATACCTCCCTAACCCTCCACACAGCCTTTCCTGTATGAAATCAAATTTTTTTTTCTAGCAAGCAAAATATACTCCAAAAATATCAAATCACAGCACTGTCAAGGGGAACTAGTTCCAGGACTCCTATGGATATCAGATGCTCAAGTCTTATATAAAGTCATTTTAGATTACTTATAATACTTTAATATAATGCAAATGCTTCATTAAATACATGCTATAATGCACTAATTCAAGGACAACGACCAAATGTGTGTGTTTGTGCCTATGTGTGTTTGGTAAAGACAGTTTTAAAAAATATTTTTGATCCAACTGTTCGAATACATTGATGCAAAGCCTGCAGAAGCACAGTACTCTGTGTGTGTGTGTGTGTGTGTGTGTGTGTGTGTGTGTGTGCGCATGTACATGATAGGATATACTAAAAATGTGCTCAATGATCAACAGACATATGCTTATAATAAATTATAAAACGAGATCACAAAGTAAACAAATATTCTATAAAGGAACAAAATATCTGAAATAAAATGTCCTGGATGGACTTTAAAGAGAATGGCGGTAATGGGGGGAAATAACACCAACAGAAATTATTTAATTGACAAAAGAGAAAAAAGATTAAAAGAAAATGAACAAGGCCTTAGAGACCTCAAAGGAGATTTTAAAAAGTCAAACATAGAATGAAAATAGGTTAATGAGAGAACAGAAAATAGGTTAGAAATAAGTATTTGAATAATAACCCCCAAATTCACAAATATGGTGAGATATATAATTTATTTATTAAAGACTACCTGGTGAACCCCAAACCCAAGAAATATGAATAAAGTCACACCAAGCACATTATAATTGAGATACTAAAAACAAAATTTAAATAAAAACCATTAAAATGGAGGGAAAGGGGCATATTACACAGCAAGGAACAATTCAAACTGCTACACATTCATCTGCAGAAACTGCGGGTGCTACCAGATGTGAAAAACCAGCTTCAGATACTTGAAGGTCAGGTGGGATGCTGGGG